ACACACACACACACACACACACACACACACACACACACGCACAGCCTAGCCAGGACACGTAGCCAGGATCAGCTCCAGGCACTTCCCCTTCCCCCAGAACCTCCGCTCCAGCCCCCAGGGACCAGGCAGGATGCCGCTCCCTGACAGGCTCTGCGATGCTTTGCTGCTCAGCTGTGAGGACTCCCAAGGCTGCCCTATCCTTCTCGAAGGCCTCCAGACACAAACTTCAAGCCCTGGACCCGTTCAGGGCAAAGGAGCTTACTTCATTCCTTAGCTGCAGTCTCTGTACCCTGACGGTCGGTCGGTCGTTGCCTCTGCCCTCCAAGTCTCAGGAGGCCAGCAGAGGTGACACATCTGGGCCTAGCACAGTCTGAGCGCCCCATGAACAGCCAACAGGACAGCCTCTCACAGGCAGTAACACAAACTTCACTCAAAGACGCGGAGGCCCCAGACCACAGTGGAACAATGGCCCCTGGTGCAATGCAGTGACCGACCCAAGACAAATCGGTTGAGCCTTAGCCCCAGTGGAAACTGGGGCTCAGAAGGAGAAGGGGAGCTTCGTCAAAGCACACCCAGACATTCCTGTAAACGGTCTGGGGAACTACCACCCCACCCCCCCAGGCCAACTTGGACAAACTCAGGTATGGATGACGCTATCTTCAGGAAGGCTTCCGAAAGCAGCCAGTGATCAAATCCAGGGAACTGCCAGTCCCTGAGAGCCTGGCTGACACCAGAAGGGGGTAAAGAGGGCAGAAAGCCCTAGACACTCACCACCGCTGCGGCCCAAGTGTAACGCGTATTCTAAATTGACAGCCGCCTCCCTTCCTCCGACCTACGTGAATACAAGCACGTGGTCAGCCCATCCCCAAGGAGAGAAACTTGGGGGCACCCAGGCAAAGAGCCCTTCAGAAGTCAGACGAGCTCTCCCAGTCTGCCTCTCTTGCCTGTCTCCAGGCAGTTCCCAAGTTCTGAAAAAGGCAGTGACCACACCCCAGCGCCCCACACACTCCTCCACTCCCACAGCTTTACCCCGACTCCTCAGACCAGCTCCTCAGGCTCCGAGTGGTGTGCTCTGCCAGAACCCGGCAGGCAGTTCCAAGTGGAGCTGAAGAGTCAGGCGTGGGGGGGCTCTGAACCCCTAGGCAGAGCCTCCGTGGATCTGAGGTGACCCGGGGGCCCCAAAGCTCATCCCGGCCTTGACTAACACTACTCTTCCTCCACAGAGCTCCTTAGTTCACGCTCTCTCTCTCCTGCCCTTTCCTGGACCTGGAGCCCCACCCTTGAACCACCGAGTCTGGCTAGTCCTCAGCTCTGTGGGGTGCTAGGCCAAGACCCTTTGCGTTGCTGCTGACCTCCATATTATCCACACTAAGCCTTGAATGACTCACACGTCTCCCTGAATGTCCTGGTTCTCTTAGCAAGGTCCCTTTGCATAACCTCTTAGGGACAGGAGATCTAGAAAGGAGTTCAGACACCTTCCAGATGTCATCCCTATCAGCACCCAGGGCCCCCCCAGCCTCCATGCTCCCAGGTCCTTTCCCACACTCCCTTGCCCCATGTCTCAGCTCAGAGCAGGGAAGTGCCCTTAAGTGAGGGGTTCCCTTTCCCTCACAGTCTGCACACTCTGCATCCCAGATGCAGGCCTAGCCCTGTAGGTTCTCAAGGTGAGAGAGGGAAGCTAATGGTTCCTTCAGCTTGGGAAAGTGAAAAGAGACCCACCCTACCCCAGGGAGTTCCCTCACGGGGCACAACCAAAGCAGTTCTGTTCACCTAAACTACTCTCAGTAGGGGTAGAGACCCTTCAACATTCCCCACGGCATCTTCCTGTCTGCCCTACACACACACACACACACACACACACACACACACACACACACACCTATGAGGACGGTACCAGCTGAATCCCTGGATCCTGTGAACTCAGCCCAACACCTATCATAGGTTAGGCTGCTGTTAGAAAAGGACTGCCGTGGAGATGGTCCCTTTCATTGACGTTAAATTTTAATGGGAGACTGTTTCAAAGCCATTTATTGGGAGTCCAGCAGTGTTCTGGGGACAGAAGTAGACCTCTGGGGTCCTTTTTCTCCTGGGAATTCCAGGTCACTCTCCAAGGACCCCAACTACCTCAGGAAGCTTTTCTACAGATGACCTCCCCAGAACAGGAACACTGAGAATACAAGCACCCCGGGAGCACCTCGTGGCCTCGAAGACAGCTCAGGGCCACACCCTGCCAAACCAGAGAGCCAACGCAGGCCCTGTTCGTGCAATCTTCTGTGCTCAGACTGTGCAGAAGTGACAGAGGGCGAAGGCAAACACGCACGCGCGCGCGCGCGCGCGCACACACACACACACACACATACACACACACACACACACACA